TGGGCCTTAGACTTGTTTTTATAATATATGGTTACCCAGAGGTCACCAAGAGATTCATAATGAAATTCAGTCATGAACTTCTTGGTAACCTTTAATCTTTAACTAACTATTTATTGTAAAAATGAACCTGATAATGTCAAAATTATGTTTTTTTAATTATAATTAATCACTAACTGATGGTTTTATGATAATTTAAAAAATTATTCTACTATACGAAACCATCAGTTTAGTGATTAACCATAGTTAGAAAAACATAATTTTTACATTATTGTTAGGTCTAACCATAAGTTAACCAGAAAATAAAAAATCGGATCTACGTGTCTTGTCATTGTAGATATCTTGTTATTCTTCTTTATCTTTATTAAAGTTTATCTAAATAATTATCTAAGAAATAAGATTGTGTTACTTATCTGAAGAGCATATTTCTGAAGAGCGATTCACTCGTCTTTCTTTTGTTACTTCAAAAAAGTGTCCGCGACGCTATAAAGCTCTGTTATAAAAAAGGATTGTTACGATTTGTGACAAGAAGTATCGTCACGTACACACCAACCACGCCTATCGTTGGCGAGCACTCTGTAATTTATGATGCGTCAAACTCGGGGACTATTGACACGGAATAGTAGCGCGATACACGAAACTAAGAGACAAGTGTGATAAATCACCAGATTCTCTGCCGGCTATTGCCGTCGTATTACGCGTCGGGGTTTGGTTTATTGTTATAACACGCCAGTGTTATTCTGCAGCAAAGTAGAGAGAGACTCACACGCGCGTATCTCATTTATACAATACGCACAGAACTAAGGCGTTGAAAGATTTCTATCTGCAAGTTGAGTAAAGTTGTTGAATAGAACGCGTAGAACATTCTTGCAGTTTCATTAACATACTGTAAAATCGATATTTTCCTATGTGATCTGCTTTGTTTCGTTAATAACATTGTAAGAAGTTTGTTAATATCAAGCCCTTAACATCTATACGGTCTATCACATAAAAATATTTCACAGATGTTATTATATTCATCAAATAGGCCAACAAAAATTTTGTATAATTTAATATCGGTTTGACTAATAAGATTTAATTTATAAAAAGTTTATTTATAGTATATAATATATGATATATATTATAAATTTATAAATAAAAGAAGGCCATATCCCGTCAAAGTAAGTCTTTTGGCCGGCTAAGATGATATTTTCTATATCACTTTTATATAATAAAAGTTATACAATAAGCGTCTTTAAAACATTATAAAACTTTTATATAGTAACTTTTATATAATAAAAGTTTTATAATGTTTTAAAGGCGCTCATTAACATCAATAATGTTAAATTGCTTGCCAATTTAATTTGTGATATTATGCACTCCCAACTTCCATTCAGAACTGCATTTCAAGATCGATAAATAATCAACGCGCAGTTCGTTTGAACTGGAAATTGTAAAATTTACACAAAAATAAGCAGCAAAACTCGCAAGATCAGATATGGATTTCTGCACTCATTTATGTTGAATATTTTATGATCGATTTTCACTTAATATTGCTTAGTCATTCATTTTTCGTCTTTTATGTTGAATACTTGAAAATTGTTATTCTTTGTTCAAACCAACTTCAGTATGATCAAACGCATTCTTTAAGCTTTCGGTATTTTAATACTTCGTGTTATCTCTATTTTCCGTTTACGTCAGCTTTGCGTTTCCCGGTGCCGCATTTATCTCTGCAACAGCAACTAACAATTCATTTGCCTTTATTCAACATGAACAGAAATTACTGTAGTTGCACCAGAAATGACGCGGTTGCTTTTGAATTTGAGAATTGTACAGGGTTGAAACGGACGAGGGAGAAAAAGGTCGTGAGAAGGGTAGAGTGTCCTCTCCGTAGCGACGTTGTAATTACGTGAGTGCTTTAATGTCCTTGGTCACGCAAATGTCGAGGATTGTCGATCTTTCTTTTTTTCTTTTTCATGGAAATACAGCGAACAAAATTCGCGTCGCTCTGCGAAGAATACGCGAATTATGCAAAATTTTTACGCGCATGTGATGCACGGGGTTTACGTTTTTATCTCTGCGATCTGCGTTTTCTCGTGCCTCGGTCGCTTTTCGATTCTCTGTCGTAGCTTTTCGCAATGAAGTATTGAAGGTAAAGGATTCATTGAAGCAATGTGCTTTTCCGATTCTCGCTTTTGTGCTCGATGAACACCGTGATTGGTCTTACAATTCGTCCCGATAGGATCGTCTAGCTAGCAATTAATGCACCCGGGAGCCTTTCTGGGGTGACAACGTGCCTCGTGAGGGGCGCGGAGAGAAGGTCTACCGTTTTCATCTCGTGCAGGAGGCGTAGCTCTCTCGTACGGAAAGAGAACGACAGAGCCGACGCGAACGTCGGCGTCGCGACGCGAGGAAGACCGCGAACGTACAAGGAAGAGGAGAGAGAAAGGCAGAAAGGGCTGAGGAGAGAAAGGGGGAAAGAGAAGAAGCTAGATGAGAGATTCGTGGGGACAAAGGGACGTCGTCGTGACGGCGCAGACTCGGCGAACGCCGGGCGTCCCGACGCCTTCTCGCGTCCCTTTTATATCGCGTCTCCGCCAGTACACCGCTAACGATTCACGTCGCACTTTCCCCATTCACGCGCACCGCGGAAAAACGGCGCCGACGACGCGTCTCCACCCCTTTGCCCTTCATCCCCTCCTTACCCTCCCCCGCGTCTCTCGTTTCTTCCACTTCACCGAAGGCGAAATTTGTGCTTCGACTCTGGCCGTCTGATTGTATCGCGAGCGCGCGAATGTTCATACGAGTCTATATACAACAGTTGCACACGCGACACGCGCGTGCCCACCGTCATACCCCGTATACGTGTGTGACATAACGAGTGCAACGACTGTGCGTCATAGTCCCTTCCACGGCACGATAGACTTCGATCTCGCGATCGAAAGTTGCCCCGACGCTTCCGAGCGATAGTGTATCGTCACAGGTAGATATACCCACGAGAGAGTTTATAACGTAATATTAATAATTTTCTGCTCTCTCGCGGTTATTTATGAGCTTCCCTTAATCTCTGATATTTTCACCATTCATTACTGTCGCTCATCGAGCGATTTATTTACGCTTGATTTTCCGCGAGTTGCATGCTGATGTTAATAGCGCGTTAGCGATACGCATATCTGGGAAAATAAATAGCCATTCAGTGCTGTGAGCACCCTCGTCGCCCACGCAACGCACGCACGCACGACGCACGCATGCACGCACGCATGCATGCACGCACCGCGGTAGTGCACCGTGCGGCTAGAGAGAGCCTGGAGATGCCTGCAGATGCAGATTTGCACGGTAACGTTCCAGAGCGGTTTGTGAATGGTGGTGCGACCTTGCGGTTGGAATGTAAAGTACTTAACCGACGGAGGCAACTACGGATAAAACCGACGTATACGCGAACCGATGCACGCCACGTGCACTGTGTTGCAATTGTGCATGTAACACGGTGACCTTATTTCGCAAATGACAATCTTGCATTTTTCAGACGTTATATCGCCTTTCCCGCGGAGATCGTTGCCGACGAACGAAGGCTTATTCGCGTTCCCTTCGTGGCTCCGAGAAACGTCAGCGTGTTAAAGTAAACGTCCCAGCGACCGGACATTTACATAAAACTTTATTTGTTTAACAATATGATACGAATTTGGACCGATAAGAATAAATATAATTAAAATATTCGGTCAAAACGAATCTTTGTTAGTGCTTAAGGATCCATTCTACCTTGTGGCTTGAAAAAGAAGGCGATTTTTTTGGCAATTTTTTTTTTCGGGAAAAGTAATGAAGATACATACTTTGTTGTTTTTATATATTATTTTTTATACTTTTCTCTTTAATTTAAAATTTTATGAAGTCAATGTGTTGACTGTTAGTCTACATAAAGTTTTGGGAAAGAGAAGCCTCTCCTCGAGCCTCTTCGACTTGAACATGGCGCCAGAACGGAAGTACTGCAGGTCGCACCAGTCATCTGAGAGTTCATAAAACGATTTTCCTATTCAGAAAGAATATCTCTATTGGATATAGACTATGATAATTGACTTTAGATAAAAATTAACAAAATGGCGGTTATTTGAAAAATGTTCGATTTTTTTACCTTAAATTGTGCTCTTGTTTTTGCGATAAAAAAAGTATCATTGATATTGATATAATTGTAGTCTATCTGATAGAAAAAACATTGCTCTACTATCATACAAAATTTGAAAGCGATACGTTCAATAGTTTTTGCTCTATCACTTCCGTTAGATCGAAAAATGTTTCGAGAAAAACGCGTTTAAAGTTTCAAGTTTACTTTTTTTTATTATTTACACTGTTAAATCTAGTGTCAAATTTAACTCAATCATATCGTCATTTTATACTAAAGCAAAGTTATATTTGACACTATAATGTCAATTTGATATCATATGGTGTCAAATTAACACGATATAGAGTCAAATTTAACTAACGTTTTGGTAAGATATAATGATATATTTAGTAGGAGCAGTGGCGACTCATGTTAGGTTAAATTTGACACTATAGATTTAACAATGTACACCTATATTTGTCACGTTAAAGTTTCAACACAGTATTCTACACACCACACTTGGGGCTATCAAATTATGTAAAAAAAAAATTTTTTTTCAATTTTTTGACTCCAGCAAGGTAGAATGGATCCTTAAATATTTCTAATTTATATATAGTATTATACATATCTGATTCTGTAAACTGCGCGCCGAAATCTTTTGCGATCTTGAAGCGTAATAATGAGAAGAATCAGAGTGTAGTAATATCACTTTTATCAAATTGACAAGCAATTTAATAATTTTTGCTGATAAGCATCTCTATAAGAATATTAATAAGAATCATATCAAATCTACAAGTAATTTTATTGTGAAAAATATTTATTTAAATTATAAATTTATATATTTATTTATATTATTATTAATCTCAAATGCTTTAAATATGATATTACAAATTTTGTGTAAGTGTCTAGATATAGATACATGGGACGTTTACTTTATCGTATGTTCGCCTCGTCCGCTCTGATATTCGCTTCCGATCGTTTCTATCTCGATATTTGCAACATTTGAGATAGAATTAATCTTGATTGCTTTTTTTCCATCTCGTAAAAGGCCATCTGCGGAAGAGCACGTAGATGATTTATTACACGCGCACACGTTGCCAAGTGCGCTTCGACAGTGGTTTTATCGCGGATTATGACGAATGCATCAGCGATATGGACGCGTTAAAATCACTGTCGATACACCGCGGAGTTTTCCATGAGATTCTCGGTCTGCTCAAGTGGGCGTTCTGCGAAGAGATAGCTGTACTTTCTACGCGTTTCCATGAGAAACCGTATATTCCATTTGATGGCTCATTAAAATTATATATTTTTTTCTCTCGAGTTCGCTTATTACGCGCGCGTATCTTAAGGTGGATTACATTATAGTTTAACGACATTATTTACTCCTACGCGTTTTACGGGCACGTGGGTAAGATCAGCATCGAGGGAACGGCCGATCAAGGCGAGCCTCTACGTGGGTCGAGCGTGAACCACAAATGGTCACGCGATCATTTGCCATTGCCATATTGCCAAATTGTCTGTGCATCCGCCGGTGTTTCTGCTACTTGACTCATTTATCATGTATTAATGCGTACGTGAACTTTTCAAGGCAATCAACATTGCACGTTGCAGATGTATCCGTCTCGTTCTTCGGCTTAAAATAAATATTTGAAAAAAAGAATTGGTTTAAATATAGAATGACCGACGAGGTTCTTTCGTTGCCGGAAGAAAAATCCCGAGCGTGAGAAAATAAAATCAACTATAATTCAATCGAGCGCTGCTCGTTTTAACGAAATCTAAGTGACAAATCTTTCGTAAGTGCCTCTCTGCGGAACTGCGCGCCGAGTGAAACTTGAGTCCGTGCCAATTCTCCGGCGCCCCGAAGTTCCAGCACGATTGGATAAAATAATTGGATTGTCGTGAAAAAGGGCCAATGTCAATAAGTACCTTCGGATTTTCCGGAATATGGCGTGCGTGTCTGTGCATTTCGTTACTCGCGGTAGAAACGGCTCTTTGATATTCCGATGATTTGCTCTTGAATTAAGCTTTAAAATATCTCCGAGAAGAAACTACTCGATTGCGAAGCGCAATGAATTCGAATTTTCTCTCCTGTCGGAAATAGTACACAAGTGTGAATCAGGCTTTGATCTTCATTTTTTACATTGTGATTAGACTAAACTTAACTTGATGTAATATAAAAATTGTATTTTTTTTAGCTACGGTTAATTATTAAACTAATAGTTTTGTGGCGAGTAACTTTTAAAGTACAAAACCATCAACTTATCGATTAATCATAGCTAGAAAAACATAATTTTTACATTATCATCAAATTAAGTGTAGTCCGATTTTATCTGATTTTATTAACTTGTAGTTTAAGCTTAACCTCATTTGATAATAATATAAAACTTGTGATTTTCTAGCTATGATTATATAATCACAAAACTAATGGTTTTGTAGTGATGACTTTAAAAGTTATTTCACTACAAAAGCATCAGTTTAATGATTAATTATAGATAGAAAAATACTACACCGAAAGAAAAGATTGGCTGTTGCAACAAATTACACCCAAAAAAATATTCTGTCGATAAGCGGGAATTCCTCTTAGCATTTCCTCTAAGCAAAAAATCTTGCATTAATCTTACATTAATCAGGTGCGTGTATTTATAACGTGTATTCCATCTATAAAAATGAGGATATATGAGCTACGATCAAAAATAAATTCCTCTATAGAAAATTTTATTATAATAACTCGAATAGCCTTTTGAAATAAAAGGATACACAAAATATTAGCGGCACGCTTACTTGTTAGAAGAGGTCATTTACGTGCTACAGTAGTAGGCATACATGTCAGTACGCAAGACATTCTTCTAATATTGAGAAGATCGCAATCCTAAATTCAGTAGGATTATAGAGTTTTACGAAATTCCTTTATTTTGTAGAGTATCCTCTTGAGGTCATATATAAATGGAAAATCCTCTGACATTAACACGGAACCGCTAAATGGCAAAATATTTTTTTTTTTTTTTGGGGTGTAGATAGTACTCGTAAAATATGGTATAGCATTTTTAATTGACTGCAACTGACAATTTTTGGTTGCAGCAGCCAATTTTTGGTTGTGTTAGCCTATCCATAATGTCAATACAAAGTTTCGATAGGCTAACGCAATAAAAAATTGGCTGCTGTAACCAATTAAAAATGTTATACCATATTCAGCCAATCACCTAAAAAAAATATTCTGCCATTTAGCGGTTCCGTGTTAATGTCAGAGGATTTTCCATTTATATATGACCTCAAGAGGATACTCTACAAAGTAAAAGAATTTCGTATAACCATAATGTACTGGATTTAAGATTGCAATCCTCTCAATACTACACTGAAAAAAAAGATTGACTGCTGCAGCAAATTAGATGGTAAAATATGGCATAGCATATTTAATTAGTTGCAACAATTTTTGATTATGTTAGCCTATCGAAATCCTATACTGACATTGCGGATATGCTAACGCAACCAAAAATTGGCTGCTGCAGCCAATTAAAAATACTATGCCATATTTTACCATCTAATTTGCTGCGGCAGCCAATCTTTTTTTTTCAGTGTAGAAAAATGTTTTGCGTGTACTGACATGCACGCGTACTACGGTAGCACGTAAATGACAAACTTCTTCTAACAAATAAGCGTGTTGCTAGTATTTTGTATATCCTCTTATTTCAAAAGGTTATTCGAGTTATTATAATGGAATTTTCTATAGAGGAATTTATTTTTGATCGTAGCTCATGTGTCCTCATTTTTAGATGAATACGTGTCATAAATACACGCACCTGAATAATGTAAAATTAATGTAAGATTTTTTGCTTAGAGGAAATGCTAAGAGGAATTCCCCGTTTATCGGCAGAATATTTTTTTTTGGGTGATCTTTTCTTTCAGTGTATAGATAGAAAAATGTTTACATCATCAGATTAAGCCTAACCACAAGTTAATAAGCAAATGAAAACTCAGACCTAAGCCTAAATCACAAGTTAATCAGAAAATAAAAAACCGAGCCGAGAAGGACGACGGTCTCGACAACCGGCGTTGTTTCGGTTACTGTGCTATTGATTTTTGCTGTTTGTTTCGTCGACCCCTACGCACCCTACGATTCCACCCTTCTGAATCATTCACCATTACTTCCGATTGGCGGTGGTGGCTGGCGGCAACCCTCCTTAATAACGACCCGGCGCGGCGGTCTCACGTGCCCTTATTCCGTCACGTTTTGCTAATTTTGATCGAAATGACTCATCTAATTAACGACGGCCGTGGACATTTGCCATTTATCATATCTGAAATTTCTCGATTTGACAAAACTTGACGGGTGTCCCGCATTAAAACACGATCACAGCCGATCATCCCGAATCCTGAATTTCTAGAATAGCAGAAATTCACGGGAATAAATCAGACTGATGGGTGTTACCCGTGACTGACCACAACGCACGCAGAATATTTAACGTGAAATTTTTGCTTCAGCGTGCGAAATAGAACGTGCGCACGTCGAGAGGCGAGAAAATTTATTGCCGCTGATACTCGCATTGCATTTATATTGATGTTCTCTTCTTTCTTCTTTTTTTTTTGACGTTTTTCTTTTGTATCGCTTACATTCGCGCACAAGTTAGGACACCGGATATACGAGGCACTTTATGGGTGCGGAGCTTTCGGAACATATCGATCGGTTTGGACTTTATGGTTTCGACGAGGAGGAGTATATACATCCCCATGTGGTCGCCATACGTCACGCACATCGTCACGGTATACACACGCATGATATGATACCCGTTCTTTTTGGCCGAACTTTTGCACCAGTTCATCTTTCTTCCTCTTCTTTCCTCCTGGAGAGAAAAGGAAGAAAGACGAACTGATGCAAAAGTTCAGCTAAAAAGAACAGGTCTATGGTGTCGTTCGTATATGAAGATTTATTGTTGATTGCCCGCTTCATTGCCGTCGTAGAGTGGCCGATAACGATTCGGTGACAGAGAGATAAAAATAAATGTAATCATGCTTTCGAAAAAGTATTGTTCCGGAATCTTCGCTTGCGCGATAACAATTCGGATTGCGCCGAACAGTGGGAGGAAACCTGTGGGCGTAATCGGCTGAAAATGTTGGGTTTATCTTTATCAACCGTGCTGTAGTATATCATAATCTAAATTTCCATTTTCTGAGAATTTTAAAAATATATGTAGCAACGAAAGGAATGTTCGCTCGTAAATAGCATTGATATCGCTCTCTTTGTTGTCATGTTTGACATAAAAGATCCTGCATTGATCATAGGAGAAAGTGGTTTTAGTCAAATTGTTTGAAATTGTGATATTTTGTAGCTTATAAGATGCTGATCAAAAATCTCCATAGACACAGCTATAAAAAATAGACAGATAATTTTGGAGCACCATAAGTACAATTGTAAAAAAGTTAAATTTTGCTGTAGCATCATTTGAAAGTTAGATACTATTTTGGATTTAATCAGAAAAGTAACTTTATTTGCCGTGTACAATTCGTTCTTTTAGTTGTATAAGCATTTATATAGTTAAACACAAATATAATCATGTCTATTATTATTGAGTAGAAAAGGTATGATTAGATTCAAAATAACAACTTTCAGATGGTGTTCTAAAAATGTTTGTCTATTTTTTATGATTGTGTTTATGGAGATTTTTGATGATCTTAAGACAAAACTACAAAATATCAATTTCATCAATTTGACTGAAATCATTTTTTCCGATTAGTACGATTACTTTATATGAAGGAAAATTAAGATCACGTGACGTTATTGATAATAAGAGCACTCTCTTTCTATATCGCTATCAATCGCGTTGTAATATATCATAATTTTCTGAGAATATTAAAAGTACATCTATCAACAAAAGAATATTCATCCGTAAAGCATTTATATATCAATCATATCTCTTTTCAACATAAATTTATATAAAGGAAGATTAAGATTGTTGACGTTATTGACAATAATTATATATATAGATATCATGTCATCAGTTCTATAAATAGATATGATATTATTTCCATTTCAAATTCTATAGATTGATTGAGTTTGTATAAATGATTGGCCGAAAAACCCATTCGCGACGTCTCTTTTACGTATGCGATTGTATCGTAACGATACAAGAGATAAGATAATGATATGCAACTTCGTTTCGCAAAGTATCTATTGTTCATGAGTTTCACGACCATTGCCGTACGATACGCGCGATACGTTTGGCATTTTTCGGTCGTATGCTTAGCGTTTAGTGTAATCGATGTGTTTTCTAAAAACTGTGTGTTTTAGGAGGGCTCGTCGTTACAGGTACAGACTTTTATATATTTAGCATTCGAGTACGTTTAGATACGCGCGAGTGAGTGTGAAATGTGAAGTGAAAGCAAAATTGGCAGCCATATTGAAATTTTAATTAGTAAATATATCGTACGTATAATACTGGAATATATATTATTGCAGTTTGCTATTAAATTCAGTTCATAAAGATCGATATAATATATGAATGCTTCATTAATATCACATTGGTAATTATGCATAAAACGTCACGGATTCGCTCGAGATATTGAAGTTTTCGTGTCAAGTTCGCGCAAATTTAGTTACGGTAGAAAGTTTCAGTTCACGTGATTAGCTTAATAATTAGAAGTCATCATAACGCGCGTGTTGTTGGCGTTATCTTCCTGCGAAATTATCTATTTGCCATTCTAATTGCTGAGAATTAGCATTAGTGGACGTAATTACTCGAAAGTTGTAAGTCGACGTTTTCGCCGATCGCGAATTCAAATTGGCCAAGAAATACGTTGTCAAAAAAAAAAAAAAAAAAACCGCAAAGAATAGGTCCTCGACGCAATACTGTTAACGGATGTTGCGTATTTCATGATGTTATCGATGTGCAACAATTCCGGGGCGGAGATCCTCGCGGCGGCGAGATCGGCGTAAGCGCGCCTTAAGGCGCAACTATAAGTGACTGCATCGGTGAATGGTACGCTCAGACTAGGTCAGCCCATAACTATCGCACTATTATAGACAAGGTCGTTCCTTCCTCCCTTCCATTTGCCTGTTTCTCGAATGCACACCACACACAGTGCGCCATAATGTTGCATTATTGTATAGTTTATCGTAGTGGCAGAAAAAGAACCGAAAAAAGTGAAACAACCCACCTGGAGGAGCCTCGAGCTTTCGAAAAATCGGCGTCTCGTAACTGCACAATATTACCGTATGAACAGTCGCGACGTTAAAACGGTTCACGTCAAAGGATACTGGAATTACTGGAAATACCGGATTATTTTATACGTGTCACAGAATGAACATTACGCGGACCGATCGAAAAATCGGCGACTCCTTGGCACTCCATATCGAAAATCGGTTTATTCCAAAACAGGAATCGATTACGTTATCGGTAAAAAGCTCTGTATTATAGACGCGTGTAAAGAATTAATTGCCGATAGATATTTAAATCAAGCAATTTTCAATTTTTTCAACAAGCTTTACCTTGGTTAAGAGAATTTGAAGTTTATCTTGAGAATTAACGTTAGTTCATGAAGAGACTCATAAATTTAATGTTAAAGTAATTATATATAATTCGATCGAGCTACCGGAGCTACGATACACTTCATAAACGACATTACGCATATTTAAAGGACTTCCGAGCATAGTAACGAGAGATATTAAACGCCATGGGAATCGCTCTTTATACCCGGGCTCATCGTAACCGCCATTGTGCCGGTAGGAAGTGCATAATATAGCAGAAAGTGAGATAGTCCGCTTCCTGAAAAAGCGATAGCAATACTGCTTGTAATCCGCCGAGAACAATAGTCCCAGCAAATCGTGGGTCGGAAGATCTTACGGCTTTTTCGTCGTGTTACGCGTACACGCGTATGTTTCCCGTGTTCAGTTTTTCAAAAGTAAAACAACAGTCCTACGATATATCTCATTAGATACATCGAGCGTGTTTACGTGGATAAATATGAATAACTTATCTGTTAATGTTGATTTGCAAACGCGCTGTATCTGAATATGTTCATGGTCCATGAGTTAAGTGGACCACGTAAAAAAAGCGAGGTATAGCAGTACAAAATTCACTTGAGAAAATCTTGTTACCATTACAAGATTTTTCTCGATATTTATGTTGAACGTCAGCGTGGGTTTATCTCGTATTCACATAACTGTACTCTTTCGTTATCATACACATTAATTATTTAATTAATAAGTACACTGAAAGAAAAGATTGGCTGCAGCAAATTAGATAGTAAAATATGGCATAGCATTTTTAATTGGCTACAGCAACCAATTTTTGATTGCATTAACCAATCGAAATTCTATACTGACATTGGATAGGCTAACACAATCAAAAATTGACCGCAGCAACGAAAAATTTGGCTGTTGCAACCAATTAAAAATGCTGTACCATATTTTACCATCTAATTTGCTGCAGCAGCCAATCTTTTCTTTCAGTGTAGAAATTGATCGATGTAAGAATAAATTAATTATAAAAGACATAATTCTATTTTTGGTCGCAGCGAATTTTAGTGTTTGATAATATTTATACAAATTTTTGCAAATACATTTTTTAATTTTATAAATTGTGCACCAAAATTTAGTTTGTCGGACTTGAAACGTAATCTCAAGCTGAAGCTGAAACATTATCTCATTAGATAATTGATCGTAAATTTAATAATAATATAATAAGCATTTTAAAAACTTGCGAAGAACTTTCTATAATAAAAACAGTTATAATTTTTGATTGATGAATAATTAAAAGTCTACGAAATCAAACTCGCGTAATTTAACAGATTATTATTATTATTATTATTATTTAATTACTTCGCGGAGTAACGATGCGCGTACAGCAGTGAGTGGTCTATTTCAATATCAAAAGAGAAAATACTGAGCGGGTCGGCTGGAAAGAGCTAAAAGCGTCGTTGACTTGGGGCCAGCTTTGAGAATATTTTCACATCAGACAGAAGTATGCGAAGGCGACGAGCACCACTTTCCGTGGTTCGATGCTTCAAGAATAATTACATGTTTATCATAATTGATGTTGACATTTTCATGGTGTACGCGGAAAATAAGAAAATTGGAAGCCTCCATCCGTTTATGACTTTGATAACACTCTTACACGTCGTAAACAGACGGCGGTTTATTAGAAGAAAGTTGATAATTCACTTCATTCAATCTTGTGTTTAATGGGAAAAATAATAAAAATTGTGCCGCTCAACTAACCACATCCTGGATGTGGTTAGTTGAGCGGCGAATAAAATCAATAAACAAAATAGTCAGAAGAAATTTGTGTTATCATAACTTTCACCTACTCGAACGGGTTTGTATGATTCATGATGTTTCATCAAGTCACAAGGCGATAATGTAGTATTATAGATTTTTTTCCACCTTTGAATAGGGCCATAATGTAATATTTGATTTTCCACACTGAAAAAAAAGATTGGCTGCTGCAGCAAATTAGATGGCAAAATATGGCATAGCATTTTTAATTGGCTGCAACAGCCAATTAAATTTTTGATTGCTGCCAATTTTTGGTTGTGTTAGTCTATCCGCAATGTCAGTATAGGATTTCGATTGGCTAACACAATCAAAAATTGGCTGCTGCAGCCAATCAAAAGTGCTATGCCATATTTTACCATCTAATTTGCTGCAGCAGCCAATCTTTTCTTTTAGTGCACCTTTGGTAGAAAAACTCTAATATTACATTATCACTCTGTCACTTGGTGAATCATTACAATCCTTTTCTCTTAGCCAATATAATTTAAGATTATACATGTAAGTCTGTGAGAAAAATTTAATTTTCTAATCGACAAATCGTTTTTCAAATATCTCCTATATAAACGTTTATATTTGATAATTTAGCAGATTTCAATTATTTAAATTTCGTAATTCTATGTATCTTGCATTTTTATGGAAAAATATTTTTTGAAGAATTGACATTTTTACTGAAGTTAAAAATAGACTCAGTGTGTGGTCTATGTACACAAAGATATAGTGTACACAAAGATATAGTTTTAAGGCTCGAATACACCAACATTACTTTGATTTTAAGCGAGGCTTAAAACTCTCTTTGTCTCTTGTCCCTTTTTTAGCTTTAAAACGAGATAGAGAGAGTTTTAAGTCTCGCTTAAAGTCAAAGTAGCGTTGGTGCAGCCGGGCCTTAATCTCTTCTGCCTTTGGGCCGATAAATTTCTTCGCTACCGTAGACGAGCTAGTTGCTTTAGACGAATGATGTATTTCTGCTTCCAGTCAGCTTCGTACATACCAGTAGTCGACCTCGATTTCCATCCATCTATACCGGTACTTGAACTTCCTACGTTTATTTGATCGCGCACTGCAAAGGAAATTGATTATCTACACTATGGGGGCTGCGAATGAATATCAAAACCGTTTTTGCGATTTGATTAATAACGCCTTATTTTCACAGTTTGTACGCACTCGATGTGCGCGAGCAAAGATTGAATGCAACGGAATACTACCTTGAGCGTAGATAACCACTAGCACATGAATCACGCGTACGTGATAGATACTTTTATAAACGAATCATTACGATTAGTTTATTTCCTATCTTGGATAACCTATCAAACTTTCGAGCTTTCAAACGTCGCCGTTCTTATGATAAAAATAAGGAGTAAAAAGTAAATTTGAGATATTGCTGACTAGCGAAGTTTCTACATCTTAAATTATCGGTAATGCATAGAAAATCTGAGAGATACACGTTAAAGTACCAGGTGTTAAAATCTCTTCGGATCGTTTGCGAACGCATTAAAACGTAAAGTTGCGACGTACAATGTTTACGCTCATCACGATCATGAAGTCGCAGACGAAAACTGATTCTCGATGGACCGGTTAAGTGCTCGTATTAAGCCGCTTGTTCCGAGAGTCCACGGCGACGCGAGATCGACAGTGAGGGAGAGGATTACTTCGGTGAGAGTAGTTTCCTGCACCATAGTCCTAAATACTGATTTCGTGCGGCAAGTTCACTGGCAGAGAGCAACCCGCAAATTTACGATCATTAAACCTGAGAAATTATCTCCTTATCTCGACGCATCTCAATTTGTGGCAATAACTTGTTTGCTATAATTTAATGTGCGTCGTTCAATTAATCCTACCTCCATTGTTGTGTCAATTGCGATGTTTGGATTGTTACGTGTTTGGATTGTTTACTCTCCGCAGTATCTTTTATAACAATGTACCGCGAAGATTTGCGGGAATTAAAAGACGACAGAAAAATTACTTCGAGAGATTTGGATTAGAATGTGATATACGAGAGAAGCAGTTTGAGATTGGACAAAAAAATTGTAATAATTATATTAAAATTAATTTAATTAATTTTAATTTATTTTATATTAAAATTTTATAAACACAACTTTTATTAAAATTGTATTATAATAATTATATTCATGTAATTAACTTGATTACAATTAATTATATATAATTGCTAAGATGTTGAATGATTTATTTTAATTGCAAATATACTAGTAAATATAGTAGGTATACTTTCCAATAAATAAAACGTGCTAAACACTGCGGAATTTCAATGAACCATCTTATGTATTCTCAGGTTTTTTCTTCACGCTTCTTCACAATAATGGATGCACCGCGTCGATGTGCATTTAATCCTCTCGTTACCGTTTCAACGCAGTGCATCTTAACGTTTCGAGCAAGTTACCCGAGCATAAATGCAATTCAGACACGGCTATATCCTGCTGGTCGCGCCGGCAACCGACGCGAGCGTGTGCTCCCGTCATGTTGAAGACACTCCGCTTTAAAGCGAAAGTCGAACGCGATCTCTTTCGTTCCCGGCCTCTCCTTACCTTCGTCCGACCTTCCTCGATTCTTCTTCGTATGCATGCTGACCTGTCTGCTGTCTTTGCTTCTCCATTTTCCCGAATATCTCCGATATCGTCTCTCTTTTCTATCTCCCTCTCTTTTCCTCTTTCTCTCTCTCTCTCTCTCTCTCTCCCCTTCTTGTGTAATGACAGACCGTCTCCGCCTGGTACGAGCTAATCAGTACTCGTTATATAAAGCGACGACCGCCCGACACTGTGTCAAGAATTATTCGCTTCGGAAGCAGACAGCAATAAGTCCAAATCATCGACATAGGAGGGGACAAGAAGAGCGAGTCCTATATATCATTTTTGGGATTTAAAATAATTAAAAAGAGACAGGAAGTTATTTATATAGTACTAAAAACAATCATAAAATTGCTTGCTATTCGAATGAATAATATAGTGAATTTATATTTCAATAAAAAATATATATTGTATGCTGCAATTTTTTTATATATATAATTTGTTTTCAAAACAGAAGAAGCATACAAATTTTAAAAATTAAAAAATTAAGAATTTTAAAAATTATGAATCAGTGTTTTATTTAAAATTTTTTTAAGCTCTGATATATTAAATTTATAATATATTTGATTATTTATTTTATTCTAAAAATATATACATTTCTTCGCAAATTTTTGCGAGAGAATGAATTTTTGAACTTTTTACATTCTTTTGCTTTGTAAACGTGGAAAATGTCTGTCTTATGCGAAATCGAGTATATCATGAAACGTGACATAAACCATTCCACACTTACCAAAACGTTCCTTAATGTTTTACGAGCAACATGCGTCAGAGCGAGCTGTTTATGGTACATCGATGAAAAAATGATGATTGTACGTTTCTTTTAATCACACGAAAGAGAGCTCGACTGAAGATTATTGAGGCAAAGTATCATTAAATTTTTTATTGCTGATTTCGTAATAGTCTTAATATCGTCATAGTTTCATAAGAAATATGACATCGTATCGTATCATGATGAAATTTTTATTATATTAGATTCAGCAGTTATATAAAAAGTATTGGACTAATGAATAAAATAAAAAGTTACAAAAAACGATGAATAAAGTTTATATAAATGTAGCTGATGATCGCAAAAAAATAAGAAATGTAAGATTTTCTTATATCGTTATGAAATTCTTATTTCGTGTTAGATTATAAAAATCCTTGCAGTGATAGATAAAATCAATATTAATATTGATTTTATCTATCATTGGGTATCAATTGATATCCAGTGTCAATGTTTTCTCGTTTACATACATAAATGGTTTATACGGATGCGATATACTATAAAAAGAGATTAATTTGTTCTATAATATAAACTTTGTAACATCGTAAATATTTGCGCAAATATTTATTACGAAGAATCGATAAACATCTGTTGGTTTTATCACTTTTGCGTAAAAATAACGTCATGCGATTTTATACATATAGTATTACATCTAAAACCGCTAACCGAAAAATATTTTATTTTTCAACATTTTTTAATGAACGAAAATTCTGCGGTAAAAGGTACATGTAAGTAAGAAGCCGTTATCGGTATTTTCGTCCAATAATATCTCCACGATATCTACGTCGGAACAATTATGGAATAGTGAACAACGTCGTACGAGTTACAGTGAAACTGCGATATCTGTCTGGATCGAGCAGGCAAAATAGCGAATTCCGGTCGCGAGATAATTTATAATTTCCGTTGCTTACATCGAAGGGGATTTTTACTATATTTGTTGCATGATTAAAGGAGCATAAAGGAGTTGTTTCTTCCTCTGGTTTTTCGAACTATAATAAGTGTTTCCCTCATTACACACGTGCGATGGAACCAATCAATGACAATAGTCAAATCGCAATTGAATAGCATCGAAACGCGATCGCGAATCGAAGCGTAACGTTAGTAACAATGAGTGAAAGTTTCTTGGTTGGCCATCTCGACGAGAAAGCTAATGAGAAAACGTCGCTGTGTTTTGCAAGTCGAAATATTGGGTCGCGTGATAGGAATAAAATCTATCGAAAGCTGTAATTCGACTTGCAACGATACTAATCAAAATAAAATTGAACTCGAGGCAAGTTTCAGAAGTAAAAGTCCAGTTAATGTAAAAAATATATCTCCGATATATTATAGACATGTATTTTTTATTCTTTCTGCGAAGAGAAAACACCGGTAGTTAAAAATGTAACTATTTGCCTGGATTTTTGGCACAAGCCAAATTTTATTTTCAAATTTCTCCGAGATAAACGCTGAAATCCGATTCCCTTGTTGCTAAGAGAGAGTTATACATTTTTAAACAAATTTCCATTTTTCCCTCACTTTTTACTCAAATTTTAATCTTTATTAAATAAAGGTTTTGATATTTAAATGAAAAGACCTGGATTGCAGACAGAGGGAGTAAAAATACGATTGTAGACGGAGGATTAAATTGCTAATTACGGATTCCGACATCTAATCGCGGTGTACGCGTCCCAGGATCCTATTTTCAGGCCGAAGGTCTTTCGTTGGTCGCCAGATTTCACCGTGCAAGAATTTCATCCATCGATTTTGTGGTTAAACAGAATCGCAAACGACACGCGGAATGCACATCGTCTGGGTTTCTAGTCGCGATCGTCGAGGAACGGACCCATCGTCGTCGTCGTCGTCGTCGTCACGTCACGTTGCGTCTATCAGCGACGGAGGCCGAGCGCGAGGTGGGGTATCACCACTCGACGGTTTCGACGTGAACATCCAGCTCGCCGTCGACTGGCTGGCTGGCTCAGTCAAGCTGAAACCGCGAAGGACCGCGATAGAGCGAGGCGAGCGAGCGAGCGGGCGCGTGTCTCTCGCGAACGTTTCACCGTTTCTCCGCTCGTTCGCCGTCGATCGTGGGAGGAAAGGATTCTGTATTCTACATGCGCGGTGATCTATCAAATCGGCCGTGATACTCCAAGGCGACGTGCAGTGACAAGTGAGCGACTCGCGGATCCTCCCTCGTGATAACGCGCGTAATGATGCTCCGGAGATTACGGGAAACGCGTTTCTGCGGGTGATACGATAAGACGTGCGCGATACACGATTCGCAGCGGCGAGGCGAAATAACAACGGAGCGTATCCTTTGTAATTCCAACCACGATGCTCCCGTCGCAGTCTCTACGATTAACCAGGCGGAACTTGCTTACGGGATATGATGTCAGTGGAATAAACGAAAGACGTGTATGCCGTGTGCGCCTTATCGGCAGTTACCGTATCGGTGCGCCTTAAAAAGCGTGCTGAATCATCGCGCGGTAAAATTGACGGTGTGCCGCGGTGCGTCGTTTACGCGATTGGCTCTTACGAGGCAAGGTGCTGTGGAGCTAGTTACACAACCGAGTACAATAACGACGAGGAGGAAAAGAAAATTAGCTGCGGCGGCAAGAGTCTTCAGTCGCGAAAGTCGCGCATTGACCGTGATCTCGGTATTTAAAGGTCATTGAATCAATGAGACAAAGATCAAAGGATCGAGAAGCATTTATTAAGTCGCTTTGCTCTCTTCCTCGCGTTATACACGCGAAAAATCACGGTGGGAGAGGGGGAGAGGCAGCAGGTAGCGCGAGTTACTTGTCTCTCAGTCGGTCGCTACGGCTTTCACGACGGTATTTACACTCGACTGCATTCTGAAAATCGCACGCTGTCGACTACGCGACGATGAAAAAGCAAGACGAGGAAAGAGTTTCGTTTAAAACGTCGATTAAGAACGCTAGATAAGAGTGCTAAGGCCGTGAGAACAATATAAACGAGGAAAGAATTTCATACTCATTTCGTATAATCTTCTGTCGTTAAGGAATAATCACGAATAATGATAAGGACGTCAAAGTTATATAAGAGAACGGACGAAAGAGAATATATATCCGTAGCGCTTACCGTCAACCTTTCATTCTCAGAATTTTCACAAGATCTAAATATAAGATAGATTTTTATTATATATATAATAAAAATCTATCTTATATACTTTTTTAAATAAATATTTTCTCAATGTATATGTATATATTGAAGAAATATTTATTTTAGATTAAGTCCAAATGTTGATTTAAAATTAATACCTTCTCATTAACGTTATAAACTAAAATAAATGTTTAAAAAATTTGTTTTGTATATAGAATATAAAGATTTTAAATGAAATGAATTGAATAATGAGCCAATAAATAACAATACAATAACTAAAATTGTATAATATTAAACAGGAGAAATCAGGATACATCCTTGAATGTAATTTTTTGTATACCAGTAAATTAAATATGTACCTTAAATTAAAACTGCAAGGGGGGAAAAAATAAAATCAAAAAAAGAAATTAATAGAAAATAAAATGTTTCAGGAGCTTGATTTTAAATAAATGTTAATTCAAGGATCTCAGATAATTCATTATGTATTATACATGTTAAAAATATCAGATTCTGTTAATTAAATGAGGAATAATAATGAGCCACAAATATCACATCGTCTATAAAAGGTGCAAATAGCTAATAGGGAAAGTTATTTTCTTGATTGACAAATAAAATACGGGATAAAAAAGTGAAATACTGAAACAACAATCTCTTAAGAATTTGTCTGCTTAGTCGATATACCTACACTGAAAAAAAAGATTGGCTGCTACAGCAAATTAAATGGTAAAATATGGCATAGCATTTTTAATTGGTTACAGCAGTCAATTTTTGGTTGCGTTAGTCTATCGAAATCCTATACTGACATTGCAGATAGGCTAAAGCAACCAAAAATTGGCTACTGCAGCCAATTAAAAATACTATGCCATATTTTACCATCTAATTTGCTGCAGCAGCCAATCTTTTTTTCAGTGTATATATTTATGAATTATTATTGAATGACTATATTTTAACATATCTCTCCGTCAAAATAAAGCAATCGCTGTCGATTTATATAAATATCTTGTTATGTATTGTATATCTCCAGATTTTCTGTTCTTGAAAAATGCGAGGTACTCTTCATTGGGCTTCATTGAGCAAGTTTCAGCTTTTAAAGTATTGCAAATTTGCGGACGTGGCGAGACGAAAGCGTCAGTAAAATCAAGAAGCTATCGACAAAATCATCGTCGCGGCGGCCACGTATATATTATACAGGCCGTCAATATAACGCTACGATAATGATACGTATTAAATTCACGCCGTGTGCGTCATGAAACGGCGCCTGTCGCCGACGTCGCACGCTCCGTTTCGGCATTGAAAGCAATTTAGGCAGTAACCCATTTGGGTGCGTGCGCGAGTGTGCAACACGCGTGCATGTACGAGACGTTTCTCGGCGGTTGTTCGTTTAAATCAATCGCGAGTACATCGACATGCATGCACGACGCCGTCAGACAACAACGCGTTAATGGAAAAGTGTCCGCGCGTTTCATTATTGACATAATACAATGCGTGGGAGAAATAATACAGAAATAGATTCAATTCATCTTGGCGATCTTGACTGAATAAATAGCGCGTGCATAATTGGGCCTTTCACGTATCTGCATTCTAAAAAACAACGGTGTCTGTATAATCCTCACTTGGTTTTAATATTAACAGCAATATGATATGGATTTAACACCATGGGTTTTAAATCCACACCATGATGGTATTAATATAAACACCAGAGGTTTGAAATCCACACCATGGCGTTAATATTAACACCAACACAGAGAGTGAGAATTAGATATATGCAGACATCGCATGAGTGTTAAATCTACACCTATTTCTTAGAGTGTAATTTAGAGTTACATACATTGTATATTTCGATCGTACAAAATTTAAATTTTTCTTAAGATAATTGCCTAATTAATTTTTTTATGTATTAAAAGATAGTAGTTTTTGTTTCTTGAAGAAATTGTGCTTGATTTCCTTATGATTATCCCAATAAAGTGGTTGTAGAGAAAATGAGGAAATCAGTACGCAATTGTGTCGAAAGTGTCGAACGGTTTGTAATGGCGAACACGTCGTTTCATCGGATATACGATTGTCTGCGCATTGAGTGATAATGGACGTTAATGATGACCGTAAATGGAGAATCAATTTAACGTCATTAAATTTTGCATTAAATATTTCTTACTGTTATCATTATTTCGCATTCGTTTTGCGTTAGTCTCCCTTTGAGCTCTTTACCCAAAATTGGGACATTCTGTCTGTTCGATGGCGTTGTTATACAAATACTTTACCCGATTAATACGCGAAAGTGTGCATCACTTTGGTGATTGCAATTCGAGAATTATTCATCTGTGACGCAGAGTTAACCTTCCTTCGTTCTAACGTCGCTGCGAGCAAAACGATTGTCCGACGTAATCAATGATAGGCAATACATCGCGTGCGCGTGGAGATAGATACACAAGTTTAAAATGATATCGGTTTCGAAGCTCCGGATACATTCAATATCGGCATGTATATCATTAGGAGGAACTGCTAGCGCGACGTACGAACGCGATAACTATGTTAACAGCATCTCTTGTGCACACGCATCGAACACGTGGGGCTCAGGTACGTAGTGCGAATAGTATTACCGGTACCGTTATTGCCATTCGCGCGATATCTAGTCGCTCAAGAGAGTGCACACGAGCACGCGGAATCGGCGCTTGTGTGGGAGAGCGAGTGACGCCATTTCCCGCCACGTCCCGCACTTCTCTCTTTTTCGCGTGAGAACAAAACTCGGATACAATGATATCGGGATAATCGAGCCTGGCGCGCTTTCGGCCACGCCGTTCTACGCAAGCGAGAGTTTGCTAACTGTGCTCGAAAAATACCGGAAACTCCTATGCGGCCAGAAGAAGCGTGATGTATACTCGCCTTTCACGGAATCTCACACTTTCGGCTAACAAATCTACTCGCTTTTTTCGTTGCTTCTCGTTTTTACTGAGCAGACCTCGACGGAAATTTAAATATATATTATTGTTTTTATTCTACATAGAGAAAATGCAACTAAAACGAATAGATCATATACCTGAATAATTAAAAGATTAAATATCTGTAATTCTCCGGAGTTGATAGGTCTGTTGGATCCAGTTAATTATAAATCTCTTTGCAAAACATATCAAATAATTCAATTTTCTTTACATTACCTGCAAAGTAATCACGTATTTTTATTAAAATATGTTCAGTATTTATTCTTTTTTATACGAGTCATTTTAATTCCTTGAAATTAGACTTGGTTTTAATGGAATCATGTTAAAAATTTTGTTTTTTAATTTAAGGGCACTTTTAATACATTAAAAACTTTTAGATAATTCACACTAAAAAATTAATAATTTTTTAAAAATAATTTTGACTATTTTTCCGACATGTAGGTATTCACATTATGTATATCGGATCTCAGATGACATCGATAGAACTAAATAATTTCGGATAATATCTTAAAATTTTATATATAGAGCAAAGGAGTTAATTAGTGACTCTTAATTAACATAAATTAAATGGGTTTTACAGACCCAGCATCAGAAAAATCATATCTATGTACGAATTTTGGTGTCAACTCCGAAGGATTAAATATGTCGAAAATAATACATAACTGGCGTATCTCGTTAGTTCATTTATTCATATAAGCAATCTTGTGTTCTAATCTTAATATTGTTAATACATAGTATATTATTATTATAACAAACATTCCGGAATTAATTTTTACACACTAATTGTGTTAATTAAGTTCGAAACTTAACAACTTACATTATTAAATTACGAGATAAAGTTCGGCGAATCGCAAACCTGATTCTCATAATTCACCATATATCATATATTCACCATATATCTTCGGCATTCTTCAATCGTGAGGAAAAGTCTTTTTAGAAATCGATAACCCGTTTACTATCCGTTTTATTATTCACTCGAACGTCTTAGCACATTTTCCCAAGGGTATCCGATCCACACGGTTTTCTCTGGATTTCGAAGATAAATTTAGGTATCCTTTCGATGATACCAAATGAAAACCGTGCGACCATATATTTTCTACGTTACATTTTACGGACCGTTATCCAGAACCGGACATTTTCACTCGCGTTTAGTCAACCGAGAATTCGCACGCGCGCGCACATATATGTGTATGCGAAAATAAAATTCGCCGACTATATCCTCGCGTGCGAAGGGACACGAGGAAAAGCTTTTCCAGCGAGTACGTTCGAAAATTGAGAGAGAAACTCTCGTTGATTGACGCGCCACATGGTGTAAAATTTTCATTCAATTTTGGGAGAGTACTAAAAGTACTTCAGGACAAAAATATATTGCATAGTAATGCTCCTATTACAAATTTAATATACGTTAAAAATTTTATCGTGAAATCAGTTTTATCTTATGTCACAAAAATTCTATCTTGATAATATCTTCGGGTGCGAATAACTTAAATTTAAAAACTACGAAAGTATTATCGAGAAAAAGTTTTTGACATAAGGTAAGATCTCGCCTCAAAATCTTTGACTTATATTCAAATTTTAATAAGAATATTATCTACACTATTAAAATTTTCATGAAATTTAATATACTTTTAATTTACACAATTTGAACTTAATTTCATGACATTACATTAAATTTAATGTATTTACAACTGAAAAGTGTATTTGTGTATATGTATATGAAATTTAATGTATTTTTCATGAAAATTTATGAAATTTAATGGACTTTCCATAAAATT